TGGTTATTAAATAATAATAAAAAACATCCGTTTTTAGCAGCAAAACTTATCCTCAATGAAACCCCGAAAAGTTCACAAAAAAAGAAATTATAAAAAAAAAAAATTTTGTTTTTTATCTCAATCCCAGAGCATAATACACATCTTTCTGTCTTATGTTTAGCAGGACAATATACCATTTATTTTATTTTAAAATAGTGACTAATGAATAAGAAAGAACCTGGATATTTTGGAAATAATAATTTTTTTAAATGATTTTAAGGCAACATTTGAAGTATGTGTTAGACATTATTTGAATAGAACAGGATATTGATTGTTAACTAAAGTTAAAACCATAAAAACATGTTTATGTGAAATACAATAAATGTTAACTGAAATTAAGATATTAAAAAATATTTTATTTCAACTACTGACCAAGGCCAATTTTTCATTTTAAGCTTAAGCTAAAACAGTATCTCAATGCTAAAATAACACTAAAACAGAATAGTTTAATGCGCCTAATATTAATGCTTTGAAAATGGCACTCTGTACTGTAAAAAAGTATTATACTTCTTACTTGACTTGAGCCTTTGGGCATTAGTTTTCAGAGCAACACTTCACAGTGGAAATTCATGCCACTGTGCAACTCCTGCCTGGCTGACCCCGCAGCCGTGTGTGAAATGTGACACGGCCCCTGGTTTCCCTTCAAGAGGTGCTTTTACCAAGTGTGTGAGTTATGGACTGGGGAGTATGGGCTGTGTGGGGCAGAATAGGTAATGGGTGGGGGTAGAGGAGGTGTAACATACAGTAGGGTGAGACAGTCAGCGTGAGCGAGAGAGAGAGACAGGACCCTTCTTTAGACAGGAGCCCCGGCCGGCGCAGCTGTCCCTAGCATTCCAGGCGTGTCGTCAGTCCACAGATTGGAGAATTAAAAGGGACTAGGGACTGTGGGGCCATTCTGACACTTTTCCTTTGGTCGCTGACTTAGTTTGCTTTACTCTTTTTCCTTCGGACACTTCTGCATTACATCTATCCCACTCCGACCAGTCTTGGGCCAGAGGCCCCCAATATGGCGGACCAGTATAACACCAATGAGGAGAAAATCCTGAAAGATAGTCACACCAAGGAGATTGATTTGATCAACAGGGACCCTAAGCAGATCAATGAAGATGTTGTGAAGGTATGTGCCATTTTTTGGTTTTGGGTTAGTAGTTCTGGTGTTACAAAATTTGGCACTGAAACCTTAATGATAATTTCAACTGAAATGCCATTTAAACAAAAGAGAACTTTGAAAGTATTTATATAAGCTGATAAAACTACATTACTTTTTTAAAAGCCAAAATAGCCCAATAAGCATATATTTGACAGAAATATGTACATATAACTTTATAAGAAACTGATAAAGCATGCAAACTATTCACTAACTTCCTAAATTGTGGAACTGATACGAGTAGATTGGCGATCTGGTCCTTAGAGACAGACTTGCTTGCGTGTGAGCTGCACAACACTTTATGCTGTAGCTACAAGGCATGACCCAAAAATAGCACTAAACCTACTTCATCTGGCAGAACAGGCCATACTATCAGTATTTATAGAAGGAGGTAAAAGGGTGTGTCAGACAGCAAAATGTATTGCTTCTTCACATGTTTTAATAATTCACTAGATTAGTAGGGGAAATTGTGTTATTTAATTTTGACTGTTGATCTATGTCCAAATCATAAATTACAGTCTGGTATTCTTTCACTGTTTAATGTAAGTGTAAGATTACTGTAATGGTTAGCAACACTGTTACTACAATAGGTCTTAGTGATATTACGTTCGTTCACAAGAAATATGCATAGGTGAGAAATAGCTTTTGGTGTTAATACTTTGTTTTATATTTTTTATTTGATAAAAAATACAATAAAAACAGCAATATTGGGAAATACTATTTCAATTTAAAATAACTGTTTTCTATTTGAATATATTTTAAAATGTAATTTATGCTTTGTTTTATATATATTAAAGTATTGCTCACTGCATTTTTATTTGATAAAAAATACAATAAAAACAGCAATATTGGGAAATACTATTTCAATTTAAAATAACTGTTTTCTATTTGAATATATTTTAAAATGTAATTTATTCCTGTGGTTGCGAAGTAGAATTTTCTGCAGCCAATATTTCAGTCTTCAGGGTCACATGATCCTTCAGAAATCATTCTAATATGCTGATTTGGTGCTCAAAAATACTTATTATTATCAGTGTTGAAAGTTTTGCTGCTTTATATTTTATTTATATATTTTTTGAAATCCACGATACAGAACACAAAGTTCAGAATTTTTTGTAACAATGTAAAAGTATTTACTGTCACTTTTTCTTAATGCATCCCTGCTGAATAAAAGTATTAATTTCATATTTATTTATTTATTTGTATTATTATTATTTTTATTTTTTTTTCCATTTTTATATGATTTTATTTTATTTTTGTAATTTTAGATTTCCAATCATCTCTGTCTTATTCAAGAAATTGGGTTTAATTTCAAATGTTGTCAATGCTACGTTATATTTGTCTTAACTGCATTTTGCATATTTACCAAAGATCAGATTTTTATTTCAGCACTTATATAGATGTTACATAAAGATTTGAAATAACTTTCTGAAATACTTTCTTCTAAATACTCTCTAGTTGTTATGAGATTGAAGCAAAAATAAACAAGGTGCCAGACTGCCTTCTACTGATGGGGGATTTTGATATCAAATGTCGCTGTTTGGAGAATTAATCATCATCCATTTTAGGAGTACAAGCAGAAGGGAACCCATACCACATGCTTGCCAAATCACTGACACTGACTATTGATTGCACAATATACTAAGCAGGTTTTGGCAACAAATCCCTGCCCTGTTGAAAAACCAACACAAGCATGGCAGCTGGTTGAGCTGGTTTAAGCTGGTCCTTAATTGGTCATGAGCTGGTCCTGAGCAGGAGCTAGTTGCTCAACCAGGACCAGCACATGACCAGCTTAAACCAGCTCAAACCAGCTGCCATGCTTCAGAACGTACCTAACTAGCATATGCTGGCTTTTTCAACAGGGTGGTTTGTGGAAATTTGTACTAACCAGCAAATGTCACCATGTCTTTTTTCCTCCAATAAATCAAGGTGGATTTTGAGGATGTGATAGCCGAGCCTGATGGCACCCACAGTATGGATGGAGTGTGGAAGGCCAGCTACACCACCTTCACCGTCTCCAAGTACTGGTGCTACCGTGTGCTGTCGGCCATCTTTGGCATCCCAGTGGCGCTGCTGTGGGGCTTCTGTTTTGCCTGCATCTCCTTTTGTCACATTTGGGCAGTCATGCCCTGCATTAAGAGCTATCTGATCGAGACCCAGTGCCTGAGTCGAATCTACTCTCTCTGCATCCATACCTTCTGTGACCCCTTGTTCGAAGCTCTAGGGAAAATCTTCAGCAGTGTACGGGTGGCATTACGCAAAGAGGTTTAGATTTCTTAGACAAGTCAAGGTTTACATGTTCAGTCCTTGGAGGAAAATGTTTTATTTGACAAATATCAAATTTTGGAGTGTGGATTTTGAGGTCCCTAAAAATGAAAAGACAACATGAATAATAGAATGCCCCGGATGGTTAATCCTATGCAGTGTTTTGTATGTTCTCAGTTTATGTTAGAGGCTTTGGGAGCAATTCAGGATTAGGCCACCTGCTTTTTCAGAGAGATGTATGATGCAAGGCCTCTCTGACCGACAATGGAGAATAAGTCTTACCTGATATCATGTGCTATTTCTCTTTAAGTTTGACAGATTTAAAATGGGATGTTGCTTAGTGTGGTATTTTTATCATGACAATGTCAGATATATTCTGTACAATTACTAATTAAAAATTTAAGTTTAAATAATAATGGTTTGAATTGTGTTTTATTGTTATATATAGGCCTATATTTTTTTTTCTTTTCTTGATTTTCTACACTACAACAACTAATTAAACATGAAATTTTATGTCCCCGATTCTGTCACTGAATATAGGACATTGAATAAATTGTATGTCTTTAAACTGATGCCATGAATTTATGATGAAATATGTTTTCATGAACATTTTCATCAAAACACTTTTCCTTTTTCCCTTAATAAATACCAAATGGTTCAGCTGTAAAAAAAAAAAAAAAAAAAAAAAAATTGCACACGCATTCTGTTACATCCATGACAGTAAGTAGCCCTAGATATGAATAATCATTCCCTCAATAATGCATTTGAGGGAAAAGGTCTCCTCGATGAAGACATAATTCATACTCACACATCTTCAAAGACATTCAGGACAGCTTTACTAAACGAGGAGGTGTTTCTGTCTGACACACTTATGCATTTCCATTCATCCTACAGCTGCATGTTTTATAATCATGCAGCATTTAGTGGAAGACTCTACGCTTTAGTTTACTTTCCCCGTCGCTCTCTTTCTTTTCTCTGCTCTCTCTCTTTCTCATCTGGCTCTGACCAGCCAGGCGATGAAACCTCTTCCCACACACTGTTCTCCTCCCACTCACACAGACACAGCCATGATGAGTCACATAGCCCCATTCTTCTACTGTCTTTCCCGCTGCACCCCAGAAGAATATTATGACTTTGCAATTCGATCTATTTGCTTTCAACTCCTCACTTTAGTTGGCTTATTATACTCCACTTTTCAACAGATTTCCTCACAGTTAGACATATCAACACACAATTTATTTCAATAAATAAAAGCTTCAGCTACACAGAGTGAATGGAAATAGGCAGTATATTTTCCAGGAAGAAAAACCAGTAGCTTTTTAAATGGGAAAGTAACAAGCATTTCAGTGAACAGTGTATTTAAACCTTATAAAATAAATATTTTCTGCTGTTAATACTGCCTTTATCATTTTCTTTATCCTTCTCATCTTGCAGCACTCATAAACAATTATGTGAAATTCACTTGTCCTCTTGTAAACGTGTTTTCTTTAGAATATTTTATAAAGATGAAGCAACAAACATAGGCTGAAATCAAAGGTTTTAAGCGCGATATTAAGCAAAATATGTAACTGGAATAAACACTGATTACAAACACTCTCTCTCTTACAAGACAAACAAGCATAAAAGCGAAAGAGTAACCAATCAGTCCTTCACTTTTTGAAAACAAATCGGGTGTTTGCCATGATTGATTACCATGATGCACTGCAGAAACATTTCGCAAAGAGATGTGGTCCTTTGGGCATGACAGTAAAGTTTACATGTAAAATGATAAAGAACAGTGACAACAACATAACCATGTATGTGCCAAAAATTAAAAGTGCTTGGGTTTCTTAAAACAAACCAAAGTACTCTCTTTTGACAAGTTCATTAAAAAGAGCAACTGGCCATGTTTCTCATTAGGTTTCAGAAGAAACACTTCATGTGTCATCAACATCTTGTTTTCATCTGTGTGTTGTTAACCTCCTCATCCTCATAACCCATAAAATGATATAACCTGCTGTCATCTTCAATACAATGTATATTAAACTTGATTTTTCACAACAAGTAGTGAAAATTGCATTACTTTTCACTGCTTTTTTCATGAAGGGGAGACATGAGGATGAGTACTGTAAATAATGAAAGTTTCATTTTTGGATAAACTATCCCTTTAAGGTTGACTGTTTTTTGCATGTTTACATCATATCAGGGCTATTTACACTTGGACACTCTAAGACACACTTAAGAGCGACAGAAATCCGATCTGGCGGTTTGAGACTCGGCCAAGTGTAAATCCATCTGGCTCTTCAGGCCACATATGCAAACTTTGCTCCTCCTAAACATATCTACATCAGCGTATGGAGGTTGTGTGAGCCCCAAACAGAATGCAGCACATTATGGTTGTTATCTTTTGTACCACAATCGTCAAAGCTAATTCAGCCACGTCCTGTTTTTATGAGCCACATCAAGTGCAGCCAATTTTGGTGCCCAGCAACAAGACACATTTATGTGGTCAAAGCGAATGCGCATGCACAATCAGATAGCAATTCAAACGATGTGTGACTAAATGTAAACAGACCCATAAACACAGTCTGGAATCGAATGATGTTCCTTCTGTAATGTCTAGAAACACAATACATGAAGGCAAGGAATAGACTACTGCTGCTCAAGGTCCTCAGAGATAAGAAAACGAAGTAGAGTAATGAAAATGACATTCTGAATAATTCCCAACCGAAAACACAGCTGAAGCAAACTGATGGTGACATTTGCAGTCTTGTGTGGGTTTATATTCTAGCTTTCCTGTCTGGCTTTCAAAAATGTGAAAAACTGGCTTTGAGGTACGTCTGGTTTATGTGACAGAGGTCTGGGTGATACTCCGCTGGCTGCTGGCACTTTTGATGACGTAGGTGGAGGAGTTGCTCTTACGGGAATCTTGCTCCGGATCACAGTGGCACTGAGAGGATTTCAGATAGAGCGCGGAGCAGCACAGCAGGTTCTGCTTCAGGTCATGAAAGAGATGCCCAGCAAAAAACATGTAGATCCAGGGGTTACAGCAGCTGTTCAGACTGGCCAGCAACATGGAAATGATGAAGGGCATTGCTGTGGAGGATAAGAAGCCAGCTTTAAATATACAACGAAAAGATCAGAACATTGTACTTCAACTCTGTGGTCTTGTTTTAACCTGTTTGATTCAATATTCTGCATCGTCAGTGCTTTTAAAATCTTGTGTCTAATGATAAAAAATTACACATTTCACCTTTAAAAGCCAAAAGTCAACCATTTTCACTCCACTCAAATTCCTAGTAAATTTCAGAAATAATTACAAACAGCAAGGAACACGCTGAATTAAATGTGGAATTCTATAGTAGGAAAATTGGTTAACACTTTACTTAAAGCCTTAATGTATAATGCATTATAAAGGGTATAATGTATTTTAAATGTGTTGTAATACATTATTTTGTTGGATAAAATTACAACCAAATTTAAAATGCATAGTGTACAATGCATTATATAGGTGCATTACAAGGTATAATTAATGCATTAGAGCTACTTTTATAATGCATTATACATAAAGGCTTTAAGTAAAGTGTTACCGAAAATTGAAATGGTATTTTATTTTAAAACATACTCCAATAGTATTTTGTTTTATTTACATTTTTTTTTTACAATAAAAAACATTTTTACAATGCATGAATATGGTTTAGCTATATTAAAAATATTTTCTTAATTTGTATTTTACACAAGCACAAAGGTAAAACTAAAAATGTAATATATGTGATCTTGATTCCATAAGAGTGACATTTACAGTACTTCAAAATTGACATTTGAGAAAAAGGTTTTTTTTTCAAGGTTCTAAATAAAACAATTATTGGAGTACAATTTACAAGACTATACTATTCCAGTCTTCAAGTTTAATTTAATGTGTTGCTGTTTATTTGTAATTATTTGTGAAATTTAATCATTTCTAAGTGAAAACTGTTTCAAAGTAAATCCTACACCATTTTTTAAGTATAAGATAGTGTCCTGTATTTAACTTCTCACTGAGCATTTCCTCATACTGTATCTGATATTACAGTGCACCACAAATATGAATAAACAACTGGGAAGATGAAAACATATTACTGGGCAGACGTTACACACTACTTCAACAGTCATTTGTAAATCAACCAGTTTATTTTGGCTATCTTCATAAGGGTCTGCACCACTGTGCTATTTATCATTAGAAGTCTAGAAACGGGGAAAAAAAAGAGGCAAAGCTTCATTTAGCACAGTGTCCCAAGCTCTGACATGCTTTATCACTCCCTACAATCTATGCATACACAATGTGGCATTAAAAATAAATTGGTATGAGAAGCATGACGTGAGACAACTTCTTTATTATAAAAACAGTGATGGTGGACCGTGGTGTAAACAGTAGAATCTGTCACTGAGCTTCTTTAAGATCTTTTACAAACAAGACAAATTTAGACAGAATAAACAACATGTTGTTTGCTAGCTCATAACAATGCTGAAAGATCTGTTAAGCCAGAAAGCAGGAGACGATTGACCGAGGTAAACTCGTTTTGCTTCTATTGTGTTTGGGAATCATGGGAAAGAGGTGCTTTCAGGCATTAATAGAAAAGAAAATCACCTTTAACCCTTATTGTTTTTATAAAATGGTGGCAGCAACAGGACACACCACTGTTCAAAAGTGTGGGATTGTAAGATTTAATAAAAATATATATATATATATATTTTTTTTTTTTATTCAGCAAGGACACATTAAATTGATCAAAAATGTCTCAAGTATGCCTTTTAAGGAACCTAACTAAGACAAAAATTGACAATCTATGTTCAGAGATTCACACTTGAGAAAAAATAACCAAAACCTGCAACTCAAAACACATTGCAACATGATTTGAATCAGCATTAGAATACTTACATGACTTTGCAATGCATGGCAACATGTGTAGTCCTTAAATAATATTGTTAGTGCGCAAAGAGGAAATGAGAACCAGGTGATAGTAATCACAAGTCTCATTAGTATTCTGGTGGTGAGCTGACTGTGTACTGCGATTAATCGTGACATGCCTATTGCGGTCTAACATACATGGGCTATTAAAAAAAACATTTTTCTTTCTGGATGACCTCACTCTGACAAAAGGATGATGCATGAGGGTAAGAAAAGAAGAATCTGCTGATACACGAACCCATCTGAGCCCCCCCAAAATCTTTCTGAAAGTACACTGCGGTGCATTTACAAAAAGACCTGACTGTCAGGAATAGACAAACAATCAAGTCGAGCAGGTTGAGCTACGTTGGGGGAAAAAAAAACTAGTGGAAAAAGCATCCAAAGGAAGGAATATCTTGGAGATCAATGCTGTGTTTTTTCTTTCCAACCTTACAGTACACCAGAGACTCTACAGCAGAGCAAAAGGGAACTGGAGCAAACAGAAGAAGGTGAGAACATCTTAGAATATAGCTTATAAACTATGAAACCACACATTCATGTGCCAACACAGATCTGAATATGGAGATTGTTGGGAATTAATTCCCAACATTCAACAAACAAACAACCATATCCATCACAGTAGAAAAGCAAACTTGGCAATTATAAATAATATGCAATGATCAAAAAAAGTTCAAGACCCAAACAAGTTGACAAGAACTTGTCCAATGTGTTTCTGTGCACTTGTGTGGTCATCCGCATGTAACCTACAGACATAAAGTTTCTGGGTTTGATCCTTTAGTCTCTCAGAGAAAAGGAAATTGAATTTAGAAATGAAGGAGTAAGCAACAAACCCAGATGGGGCTTCGGTCAAGTGTATTGCTTTTCTGTTTGCTACCTCCTATTTGTGCTGAGCTCACAGGCATCAGAGAAAACTGGGCAAGCACATCTCTGTACCATCGGCAGTTGGATCAATGAACAGAGAGAGAAGGAAAGAGAATATTCTTTAATATTAAGCTCTGCAAAAGTGCTTTAGATATTCATCACACTTCAAGTAAGATTCACAGAACATTTTAGATGGATGCAAAGATCTACTTTAGCACATTTATCCCCCCCCCCCAATCAAGCTAAAAACTATTGCAAGATTGATGATACTTGATCTTAAAATACACTGTCGTTCAAAAGTTTGGGGTCAGTATAAGAAGTTTCTTATGCTCAACAAGGCTGCATTTATTTAGACAAAAATACAGTAAAAATAGTAATTGTGAAATATCACCGTTTTTTTTATTTTAATAAATTTATAAAATACAATTTATTTCTGTGATGCAAAGCTGAATTTTCTGCAGCCATTACTCCATTTTTCTGTGTCGCATGATCTTTCAGAAATCCTTTTAGTATACTGATTTGGTGCTCAAGAAACATTTCTTCCCATTATTAATGTTGCAAACGTAATGTTGTGCTTGTTTTTTTTTATTTTTTCTTCTTTGGGTAATCTTCTTTTAGCATGCTTTGATGGCAAGTTTCATGGAAAGGTTAAAATAATTTATATGAAATATTTTTCTGACTCCGTGAAAGTCTTTATTGTTATTTTTTGATCCTTTAATGCATACTTGCTGAATAAAAGTATTAATTTATATTTAAAAAAATCATACCTCAACAAGGCTGCATTTATTTAGACAAAAATACAGTAAAAATAGTAATTGTGAAATATCACCGTTTTTTTTATTTTAATAAATTTATAAAATACAATTTATTTCTGTGATGCAAAGCTGAATTTTCTGCAGCCATTACTCCATTTTTCTGTGTCGCATGATCTTTCAGAAATCCTTTTAGTATACTGATTTGGTGCTCATGAAACATTTCTTCCCATTATTAATGTTGCAAACGTAATGTTGTGCTTGTTTTTTTTTTATTTTTCTTCTTTGGGTAATCTTCTTTTAGCATGCTTTGATGGCAAGTTTCATGGAAAGGTTAAAATAATTTATATGAAATATTTTTCTGACTCCGTGAAAGTCTTTATTGTTATTTTTGATCCATTTAATGCATACTTGCTGAATAAAAGTATTAATTTATATTTAAAAAAATCATACTGACCCCAAACTTTAGAAAGGTGTTGTTTAATTAAAGATAAAATGTCCTTTCAACTCAACTCTTTATTTTGGGAGCCCTACAGGTCAGCGAGTGTCATTTGTCCAAATGTTCATCTGATTTTGAGATTTCTGCAAAGATTTTTACTGTTCAAAAAAGGTTAGATGCTTAGTGGAAAGTTGTTTTACTCTTGTAATTCAAGTAAGTGTCATGGAGATGAGAACATAACTAGTAGCCAAACCTGCGATGACATTGCCAAACCCAACATTAGTCTCAAAATAAAGCAACCATACATAAGTTCATCTGGAAGATGCCGTTTTCAGCTGTCATTTTCATGGAAAGGTTAAAATAATTTATATGAAATATTTTTCTGACTCCGTGAAAGTCTTTATTGTTATTTTTTGATCCATTTAATGCATACTTGCTGAATAAAAGTATTAATTTATATTTAAAAAAATCATACCGACCCCAAACTTTAGAAAGGTGTTGTTTAATTAAAGATAAAATGTCCTTTCAACTCAACTCTTTATTTTGGGAGCCCTACAGGTCAGCGAGTGTCATTTGTCCAAATGTTCATCTGATTTTGAGATTTCTGCAAAGATTTTTACTGTTCAAAAAAGGTTAGATGCTTAGTGGAAAGTTGTTTTACTCTTGTAATTCAAGTAAGTGTCATGGAGATGAGAACATAACTAGTAGCCAAACCTGCGATGACATTGCCAAACCCAACATTAGTCTCAAAATAAAGCAACCATACATAAGTTCATCTGGAAGATGCCGTTTTCAGCTGTCATTTATTCTTATTAGTGCTGCAGCCAAGCTTTGAGCACATCAGAACATCAGTGTTTTAAAACTCATCCCTTGGTCTCAGGCAGAGGAAACGGCTCTTATTTCACACATTCGGGGAAATGTCATTAGTAACGGCATTCCACTATGACTGTGTCTGCCACTGTTGATGCATAAATCTGTGCAGTGTTGTCCTAATATTTAGACTGCGTGAATGCTTTGCTGAACTTGCCATGATGTGTGGATATTTTGTATGGTGGAGGTCATGATACGAGTTAGTATTTCACACTCTCTTTCCTCTGGGTCTGATAATATTTCATCTTTGTCTCTGAAGTGTGTGACACGTGACCTCACCTTAATCTCTTTATTGCTGCAAGACAAACATGGTAAAACTCATGGCAAGAACATTGTTCACTGACATTTTCATTCAAACACACAAGAGAAGCCATGCAGTAACAGTATTGGTTTGGTAAGCTGATAAGATTTAGGGTTTCTAAATGTCTCTTGTCTACTGAAAACCTGGACTTTTGTGTGCACGTAAAAACAAAATGACTATTTGTATAACAATCTGTCGAGCACACGATTTCATCACATGTAATATATTATTGTCGTAGTTAAGTAATTCTTTTATATATTCAAAACAACAGTTATTTATCATCAATTCTCCCTGGGTTTGTTTGGGTTGGTGATTTCTCATACTGCAGACGGTCATGATTTAAGTGGTGCAGCTCTGCTGAATATTAATGTTTCCCCGAGGCTGGTCTTTATGGCTCTGCCGTTTTTAGCGGACTACATCTGTAGTGATTTAAAAGTAAGATGCCCATCACAGCAATTCTAGTTCTGTACTGCTAGAGCCTTCTTATCTGAAGAATTACAATAAATCAAAGCAAGCTTCTTTTCTCGAGTCTTTGAAAGAACACAATGTCACGGTCAGAAACCATCTCGCATGATTCTGAAAACTCATTAGGCTTGTTCAAATCTAATCTGTATGACCAAGCTGATAATTGTATTTTCAACTGCCTAGCCTATACTGCAAATAGCTTTCCACGTTCAGATATGTTAGCTGAAAATACATTTATCATTCTAGAAAAAAGTGAAACCGGGAGCATTGTGACCTCCGTTTAGCTAGTACAGGGCTGAAAACACTATCATACATGAACACCATCCTGCTGAGGTGACAGTAGAACCTTATGTTTTTAAAATGCACAGGCTTCAGGTTTCATGTTTGAGGTATGACTGATGTAATTTGTCTTAGAACAAAATAAAGTCTCTTTAAGTGAAGTTACATATCTTATTTTGCTCATTAATTGAAAACCGTCACCCCTGAGGGAACTTCCAAGTGAACTCATTACAAACAGCCTTTTGGATTGGCCTACAAACTGACGTCATAACTGACCCTACTGTATAGGATATAGATTTTAATATACATTTCAGAAAAAATAAGGCTATTATTAAAAGTTGTTTCTATAACTGTTTTTCATTTATTGGCTGATATTTAGCAATATCCTGGACCCTTTCCCCCCTATTTACACGTAAACATTGCTGTCATGATTTTATGAAAATTTTAAAAATGTATTTAATTATAAATAAATAATAATAAAATAATTATTAATGCTTTTTCCATTAAAAAGTTGCATATTATAAAACAATATCACCAATATTCAGATTACTGGTTGACAATGTGTTCTGAAATGGCTATTTCGTTTAATTTTTGTGTCTGTGACAACTTTAACTTTAAAGGTATGCCTATTTTTGTGTTTAATTTATTTATTTCTTAATTGAAAACATTGGCTGGTTGACTTTTCCATTTGTTGACATAACATGGTTAGATTCAGATGGTAAATATCATACATTAAGCTGGGTGTCCACTTCAGAGATAATCACTATATTTATAATGAAACCAACCAATATCATATAAATATGATATTAATAATAAAATGTCATTTATAGTTACTACTGCATTTTAAACTATTAGCGGTGGGGATCTCCTTCATTGCTTTCGAAATCTTTACTTTTTTTGTTTCCTTCATTTTTAAAATAAACATATTTTAAAGAATCTCATTTTATTGAACAAATAATTTAGAAAAATAAATATAATAAATTATTTTATTTCTCAAACTTTGCTAAAGTGATTGTATTAACTTAGATATTATTCAAAACATTACTTT